CGCGGGTTGTTGTTCATGTCCGCGGGTTGAAGCGACCCCAATAACGTGATATTTAGTCCCTGGAATGTGAATTCCCTGGAATGTGAAGATCCCCGCCGAAAAACGTGTATTTTACCCCCCAGAATGCGATTTTTACAGGGGAACCCTCCTCGAAACGCGATTGGACTAGTTTTTTTTGCGAAAACCTGGCAACCCTGTTCATAGGTGCCACCTGCTGTCAGAGAGTGGTCTCATTCAGACCTGCTGTTTTTGTTTCGTGCAGATGTTTTATGTAGCAAATAAATAAATAACACCTAAAGTCAGACCATTCTGTTTTTGTTTTAAATCCTGAAATTAATCTAAATCAAATCAAAAACAACTGCCCGTGCACATCATGATTAAAATGCAGTGGTTGCTTCTAATTTCAAATGGCTAGATATTTTTGCTTAAAGACAGTTTGTTTGTTATAAAGCAAATAGCCAATAAATAAATTTGCTTAAAAATCAGTATCAGTATCACAATCCAATTTGCTAGTTTAAAAAAAAAGAAAGAAAGAAAGAAAAGAAAATCTGAATTCTGAATCAGCTATGATCGGCGCATCACTAATTAAAATATTAAGTAAAAGGCCTCAAATTTGAAGTACAATCTGGGATGTCTTTTTCTATCAATTCTTCAATAGGTAGATCTTGTCTTTCATAAAGGCCGAGGTCAGGGGTCTTGGGCCTAAAAAGGTTGGTGACCACTGGTCTATACTATCTGTTGTATAACAGGTTTTTTGTTTGATTGTTTGTTTTGTTAAGCTCCAATTATGCCAGACTTATTTGCTTGTTTCAAATAATCCTATCTTCTGGTTTGTCAATCAATCAATCAAAAAAATAAAAAAAATTAAGTGAAGAATTTACACTTAGGCATTAACACATGGTTATTTAAAAAGTTGACCTTTTTATATTGTGAATAAATAAAATGACAAAACATTTTTTTATAAATAAATAAGTAAATAAAATTGCTCAAAATGCACTTGAGATAATGCACAAATCTAGTTTCTTTACATCGTCCTCTGCAGCTATTCCTTGACATTCACCATGTATAATAAATCTATTTTAGCAACTTCATAGTACTGCGAGCAGCCAACAGGCCAAACACTCAGCACGTCAACGCAAATATGGGAACGATTAGGAGTTCTTTGAAACTGACGAGATAATTAAAACAAGATAGACCCTGGTTCATCGTAAATCATGCCTTTCACCACCCATCTTCACAAACTCCCCCTTGCTTCTTTTCTAGTGCTCTTCTACAAAGTGCACACAAGATAGAGGTGAGAGCGCTGAAGTGTAACCAACCTTTAAACTATCAGTCCATGCGGAGGCTAGAAAAATTGTTAGGAAACAAGGCGTCGCCCGTCAAACTGGTAGAAATTAAAGCTAGAGGACGAATGTTTCTTCACATTAGTGGAGGTCCATGTGGTGGCCCATTAGTGCCTTAAAGGGATAGTTCACCCAAAAATTAAAATTTGATGTTTATCTGCTTACCCCCAGGGCATCCAAGATGTAGGTGACTTTGTTTCTTCAGTAGAACACAAACAAAGATTTTTAACACAAACCGTTGCAGTCTGTCAGTCTTATAATGGAAGTGAATGGGAATCACTGCTTTGAGAGTCAAAAAAACATACACAAACAAAACCAAATTAAAGCCTGCGGCTCGTGACGATACATTGATGTGTAAAGACACGAAACGAACGGTCAGTGCAAGAAACTGAACAGTATTTATATCGTTTTTTTACCTCTGATTCACGCAATGCCCGAACTGTTCGAACTTTCCTGAGCGGCGGCGCGTCCTCCTGAGCGCGTTCTCAACAGCAGGAGCGTGAGGCATCTTCTTATTCTTCTTGCTTTACGGCGGATCTCTCAAGTGGACCATTGACACTCCTAATTGAGATTGTAGATAGAGTGACAATGGTCAATGGTTGAGAGATAGGTGGCACTTATATGCACTTATAAGTCTAAGACGCACTCAGGACAGTTCGGACATTGCAGTGCATCAGAGGTAAAAAACGATATAAATACTGTTCAGTTTCTTTCACTGACCGTTCGTTTCGTGTCTTTACACATCAATGTATCGTCACAAGCCGCAGGCTTTAATTTGGTTTTGTTTGTGTAGGTTTTTTTTTACTCTCAAAGCCGTGATTCCCATTCACTTCCATTATAAGACTGACAGACTGCAACGGTTTGAGTTAAAAATCTTCGTTTGTGTTCTACTGAAGAAACAAAGTCACCTACATCTTGGATGCCCTGGGGGTAAGCAGATAAACATCAAATTTTCATTTTTGGGTGAACTATCCCTTTAAGGATTTTCTGAGAAAAGACTTCTGTTCTTAGTGTCCCATTGCGGACGAAACTACACCCTAGCCATTCGGGACATTCCACTGCTCGCCCCTCGTCGATAAAAGTGAGAAGGACATTGCACATCACACTGTGAACATCTGCTGTCCAGAGCAGCCAATGAACACAGAAGCGTCTTCAGTCTTCCCGTTTCATACGTGCAATACGAAGCGATATGAGCGTCTGCTGGGAAAAGAGGGTCCGATGTTTATCCCGGGAGAGCTGTCGGAACATGAAAGGCCGTAGCTCGTTAAACTTAAGTGAAAATAAATGAATTGTTGTGAATGACAGCAGAAGAGGCATTTATAGGCCATCTTTGGTCTTAACCAACAAGTAAACTGTTGTGACCAACTGATTTTTGTTCTTTAATATCATGACCACAAGACTGGAGATGTTCAGTTTATTCCTGTATGGTCACATTTGATTGGTTAATGTTGTGGTAGTTTTATTGCTCTACTGTGTTGTATAGATGCCACATGTCAGTCTGATTAAAAATAAATAAATAAATAAAATAGCCAAACTTCCTTTGAAGAACTACACTACCCATAATCTTGACGAGAGGATCCACCAATCAGAGCCACTGGAATGGAAAGGCCACTTGCGAAACCATGTGAAAGCGCTGAAAAAAGGGCATTATTGTTAAAGTGGGGGTAACTGTTGAGCTCAGGTCTGTGTCTGTTTTACACATTTTGTGTTACTATAAATTACTACAGTAATAGGTTAAGATAAGCAGAACTGAAAAACTGACTATTAGAGATGCCAACCAACCTGATTTGATGAGAATTCATAAGTATTTTACGAGAACATTTGTAGAAATAAATACAATCCGACTCTTATGAAAGTGGTTTGTTTGAAAAACTTCATCGTGAAGGTCCACCCCTAAACTTAACCCTGAGAGGAGTGAGAAGATCATACAAAAACATACACATGAGATTGTACGACCAACAAATTCACCAAATTATAAATTATTTACAAACTGTCATGAAATTGTGACATCATGCTAAATCTGACGTATGCCAACATGCTCTCATGACAGCGAGGCTGCAGTTTACAGAGTCACAGTTGCTCAGCTCATGTCTAAAATGTTCGCCCGTTAACTCTATTATTGTGTGAACACTCTGACAGCATAATCTCACATAGAATATGTGATTTTAATCTCATTTCTGAGATCATGTTTTTATTAAACTAAAAATAGAAGACAAAAAAATTGGATTACTTGTTCATCTTCATGTACCAGCAGTAATATTTCAAAATAATCCACCTTACTGACAACAAAGAACATGAACATAATATTTCCCTCTGCTTACATAGATTGCTGGCCTCTTCTCCTGACAGTAACACCTACTCTCATATTCATTAAAGCTGAGGCACTCAAACGAGCCTAATAATACCAACAATAACCATGTGTGAGTATAAGCAGCTCCATCAAAATTTACACAAGCAAAAGTAGTTAATTAGTATTAAACCGTAAGCACTTGGGTAAATAAACAGTAAAATGAACATTGTGAAATAAAGTGAGAGTCTGTTTTGCTCTAAGAGTGGATAAAGAGGTGTCTAGCACAACGGAGACAATCAATTCCAGAGATGCAGTCATCCGACAAAAATTTGATCAAATTATCTAAAAAAAAAAAACACACCCTCTCCATGAATAATCGTCTAAAACAAACAAAGGTTTGTATGTTTGTATGCACTGGTCAAACGTATGCACCGGTCAAACAAATGTTTGTATGCACTGGTCAGTCCTTTCAAAAACATCATTACTCACAGCTGAGGAGTGCTAACAGATATGACTGGACTAGACTAGACCAGCCACACAGGCATAACCAACCATGTGTTGTCTCATCAGGGCAAATAAATATGACAATACATACGCAATAAGGGCCTGAGAATAAGCGATCAAGAGTTTTAGTCTTTTTTTGGTTGAAATTCAATTCAATTCAATTAAAGATAATTTAATTTAATTAATAAAATGTAATAAAAAATTAAATAAAAAGAAATTAAATTACACTAAATTAACATTAAATCAAATTGAATTAATTAAATAACATTAAATTGAATTAAGTTAAATATATTTTTTAATAGAATTAAATTAAATAACATTAGATTACATTAAATTAAATAAAAAAATTAATTGAATTAAACTAAATTAAAAATAAAATAAAAATGTAATTAAAAAATAAAATATATAAAAAATTTAAATAAATAAATTAAAATAAATTACACAAAATTAATTTAATTAAATAACCTTAAACTGCATTAAATGAAAAATTAAATATCATTAAATTAAATTGCACTTAATTATACTGCATTCAATTCAATAAAATCAAAAAACATTAAATTAAAAAATTCAATTACACTAAATTAACATTAATTGCATTAACTGAAAATTTTAATTGTGTTACATTGCATTAAATTACATTGTATAAAAGTAAATAAAACTGCATTCAAATACATTACATTAGATTTTATCAAATTAAAAGTAAATTATGAAATTAAATTACTAATTTTTTAATATTTCAACCTATTGTCATTGTGGGATATCACAGGCAGAATGAGGACACTTAAAAGCATTAAAACTCTAAGCTTACGATATAATGGGTATAAAGAGCTCTAGGCAGTGTTTAGAAATGGTGTTACAGGTACCTGATAAGGGACAATGCTCCCATGGGCTGTTCCCCATCGCCTGGCTTCGATACCAGCGTTGAGGTAGTTGGCAGCGATGTGAGTTAGACAAGCAACCTGTAGACAAATCGAAGGAGAAAAAGCAAATATTTTTAAATCTTAGGAACTGTCTGTCTGCTGTTTTGTGAGTTCAGTGAACTCTTACACAGCTGACACAGCAGTTCATGCGGCCGTGCCGTAAAACCTTCCTCCAACTGGAATCCAACAGAACAAACCAACAAAAACGTCAACACTTTTAACAAACACCTAAAAAAAGCCATATTAAATTTCAGATTTACTGTAACAACTGTATTTAGTTGCAGCATTTGAATAAAGCTGTTAAAAAAAAGGTCCGGGCTTTTTTTACGATGCCCAGGTGACATCAGATCAGAAGCCATGCAGCTGAGACAATATTTTGCAATGTACAACCATGTACCGAGAGGACACAGAGAAAGTTAAGAGAGGTGAAATATTTGGTCAGATCAAAGCCTGTCGGTGATCAGTCTGGACGCGATTGTTGTGCGGCACCAGAACTCCTTCCTCAGACCGTACACCTTGAGATGAACCCATTCTTCACTTTTCCAGCTGCTTTATTTCCATGACGTCTTACGCTGAGTCTTTTGTTTACCGAAACTTTGGTTTCTGTGTTTAAACGGCTGGAAACAATCTCATTTTTGCCCATATGCAAGCAAAAACTCATTTATTAGGTCAACACTAAATCATATCAGTGACATTTCTTAACTTTCTTCTTCAGTAAGCTCATTAAATGGTTAGCAACTGGTCCTGAACTGAACCAGAGACAGTATAAACAGAAAAAGAGCAAGCAACAATCCACTTGGATCATGTGCACCTCATTAGATAATATCTCTTTTTACATTCAGCGTCAAATGCTTTCTTGAGAAATCAATGTCATTATATTGTGCACTTCACTTCAATATACTTGTCTTCGACGTGCTAAGATGAAGCTGAAAGTGTGCCACCTCGCACCTCACAACGTTTTATTCATCACTTCAGCTCCTGCTTACACACAAAATACACTCAACTGATTTCAGGTGTCAGACAAGACTTGCTGTTAACTGGTTTTGTGTATTGACAAAACTCGGCTGACAGTTTTGGATATCAGACAAAACAAAACAAAAACAGATGTTTTCTGACAGGATCTGGTAAAGAAACACGATTAATATTCCTTGCGTGGAGATTCGATCTCACATTTTTGGTTAGCTGGATATCGGCACAATCCAACATTTTTGGCTTTGGAAAGAAATGTAAAAACAGAGAATTTTTCAGTGTATGCAACCAAACATAAGCTTGTATTACTTCACATCATGTCAAGTAACTACTAGATAAAATAAATGCTTACAAGTATTTGCTTAGCATTTTTAAACACGGCTATTTTCAAATAACAGATTTTTTGCATTTATACACAATTACAGTATGTATTAATTTATTAATATTTTAATAATATTTAAATTTGGTATAATTAGCTTATATTTTCAGTTTTCGTATTAATATTAGTTTAAGTTTTTGTAATTTTGCTATGTGCTTTTGTCATTTTTATTAGCTTTTTTCTCTTTACCTGTTGCGAATCATCATCAGAGTCGGGATCCATTTGCAGCGTTTTTATTGCGTAAACAGACAAGACAGGGTCAATCACCAGTAGATACAATAGCGAAGGCTAGGCTGAGACAGAAAGTGGGACGGGGAGGAGGTCGAGGCAGGCGGCAGACAAACACAGTAAGTCACGGCAGGCAGATACAGATCAGAGTACGTGAGCGGATCAAATTGTCAATTTGAATGGCGAGTTCAATGAATTCACTCAAACTTTTCCCCTCATCTCGGCAAGCCAACTCTGACTGGAGCTCCGAATTCAGTCCCCTCCGAAACAGGAGTTTTAATGTGTCCTCGATCCAACCTGTCTGGGCGGCAAGGGTGCGAAAGGACAGAGCGTACTCGGCTGCTGGTCTCCTTCCTTGCGAAAGTGTCAACAGTTGGTCTCCTGCACTTTTCCCCTCCGCGGGATGTTCAAAGACTTCGCGGAAGTGTTGGAGAAAGGTTGTGAAGGTGGGAAATGAAGAACCGTCCACTCCCCAAACGGCGGTAGCCCAATCCAGCGCCCTCCCCGTGAGCAATGAACACACAAAGGCAATGCGGCTAGAGTCTGTGGGGTACAGCGAGGGCTGTTGATTAACAAAGAGCGAACACTGAAGCAAGAACCCTTTGCATCTGGCAGGGTCTCCGTCAAACTTCTCCGGGAAAGCTAGTCGTGGGCTCACTGGGGATGTGGGTGATGTCAGGGGTGGCGTGGAGTGATGAGACGCCGGGGCTGGAGCGGCTGCAGCCGCGGTTGGCGTTATTTGTAAGCCTTGCAGCGCCTTCACTAACTCCTCGGTGAGTGAGGTAAGCCGGTTTAGTTGGTGGTGATGCATGGCGAGCTGTGTGGCCTGCGCAGATAGCTCAGTGGATAATTGCCTGAGTGCTGCTGGATCGCTGTGTGGCGAAGTCTTCTGTTGCGAATCATCATCAGAGTCGGGATCCATTTGCAGCGTTTTTATTGCGTAAACAGACAAGACAGGGTCAATCACCAGTAGATACAATAGCGAAGGCTAGGCTGAGACAGAAAGTGGGACGGGCAGGAGGTCGAGGCAGGCGGCAGACAAACACAGTAGTAGAACAATCCAAGTCAGGGCAGGCAGAGACAGATCAGAGTACGATAAACAGTCCAAGGTCAAACGAGTAGGCAAGATACAGGGTAAACGCTCAGAAGTGACAGCCGGGGCAAATCAAGACTTCGCAGTGAGTTGCTGTGAGTGTTTGGCTTAAATGTGTGTGTGCGTGATTCAATGCAGGTGTGTGCGTGCAATCAGTCCCAGGTATGAGGCATGATGGGAACTAGAGTCCGAATGGATAAAGTCAATATTCAGGAGAGAGTTCCCTCTGGTGGTGAGGAGGAGGCGGTACGGAAGCCTCCTCTGTAACATTACCTATTTTTTTTTATTTTAGTTTTAAGTTCTCTAATTTAACTTCAACTTATTATATTTCAGTTAAACCAGAAATGCTTTTTATGTTTAGTCTAATTTGAGTTGAAGAAGCTCAAATTTATGTTTCCATTTGTGGTCAAAATTTATAGATGCTCTTTATTTATTTATTTTACATAATTTCAACCAGCATGATTCGGAAATCTCAGGGATTTTTTTTCTATTTAAGCATAGATGCTGCTATACACGTATGCCTTGAAAACAGCTGCCTGAAAGCATTGGAAATAAGGCCATCGAGTGAACTGACTTGCCTTACAGGGACTGAACTCAAGTTATTTCCCAGCAGACCCACTGCTGCCCTACAAACTCAAGAGGACTCAAAACTTCCACTCAACAGAAACCTAAACCCAGGAAAATGAATAAAGTTGCTTTAATATCAAAGACAGAAAAGCCAAGTAGCATCTTGTTACACTCACAGCACCTCATGTGTAGTATTCACCACATATCTGTAATTTAACACACGATAAACGTTTACAGGGTAGCAAGAGGTCACTGGATATCACCGTTCTCCAAATCTGCTACACATATGTTCCTCTAGATATTTTCCAATTAAAACACAATAGCATGAACTAAAGCGCATCCCAGGCTTCTCTCCTGAGCTCGGAACTTGTTCTTGGCACAACATCTGAGAAAAACATAAAAACTTTTCAAGCTGTTTCTCTCAAAACAAAAACCAAAGACATACCCTGCATAACTGTCAATACTTCTGTTACCTTACACTGCCTCATAAGATGAAAAAGTAGTAAAAACAGCATTAAAAAAATCCTATAAAAACATTTTTCCTATGTAATTCATTGTTAATAAAAATTAAAGTCTCTGTTTCTCATAACTGTCTTTATGTTGTCAGTTTGATTTTTCTACAAACAGCTGTTAATTCTATGATTGGTTATTTATGGAAAATATGAGGTCAAAGGTCAATGTTAACATGCCAGACATACTGCGTACTAACGTACTATTCACGATTGAATTTCAATTCACAAGCTTGAGATTCTATTGTTTACAAGATGTTTTATTGATGTCTTTCCGCAGTTGAAACACTGATTGAGTGATTACATGAGACATGATGCATTTCAGTAAGTTGTACTGTTACTTTCAAGACTTTCTGATGTTCATTCATGTTTATTTCGTGCTGTAACTAGTAGTAAAGAAAAAGAGATCATTGGTTCACGTGCCGCTTGAACTGAAGAGGCCACAGCGATCTGTCACGCCACATTAAAGAGTGGCAAAATGACATTTATTGTTTGTATTTTGTGATGAAATTGACAGTATTTCAAAGCTGAGTTTTTTAAAGTTATTTCAGTAGACAGTATTTAAAAGTTTTTGTACTTTTTAGAACTTTTTCCCCACCTTGTTATACTTGTGTTCCTGGTGAAAAATGACCAGCCTGCAAATAATTTGCTTGCAAATCTCTAATTATACTATATTATTACTAAATCGTGGATTCAATCTGTGTCAAATGGTTTTCTTTCAATTTGCAGAGGTTTTGTATTTCTTTTTGAAACTGATTGATCAAATGCCTCGTTGATTTCTTTTACTCAAAAACTGAGGTGCTTAAGCTCAGATCAATGAAGCCTATGACCAATCAGTTCCAAAAATAAATACAAAAACTATGTTAAATGAAAGAAAACAAGTTGGCAAAAAGATTGAACCCAAGATTTGGTGATAACATAGAAAAAATGAGAGATTGAGAGGAGATTTTTTAAAAGGACAGTCATTTTTGACTGGGAACACCAAATTAGGGGAAGGATTTTCAGCACAAGAGTTAAGAATCGAGATCGGTTCGAGAAAATGAGAATCTGGTAAAATTGAGAAATCATTAGGACACACTTTAGTTTGGGGACCAATTCAACTATTAACTATGACTTTTGCCTCAATAAACTCCTAATTTGCTGCTTATAGTTAGTAAGGTATTTGTTAAGTGTAGGTAAGGGGTGGATTAAAGGTGGGGTAAGTGATTTCTGGTAGCCAATGTTGATATTTCAAATCACCAAAACACCCTACCCCAAAAGGGTCTCGCCCCTATTTTGATAGCTCCGCCCCACA